GCGGTTGGATAGCTGGCTCTCACCCGCAGACCCGGGTTCGAGTCCCGGTGTGGGAACATCTTTTGCTCTTCTTTGCTGCTTCTCCACTCTTGTTTTCGCCGCTTTGGGCGTTCGTCACAGTCTCGGTGCCGTGCTGACCCGCTGCTACATCCCATCCACGGATCCAACCATGCTCGCACGACCAGGAGGTACTCGAGTCTGTCCGGCCATTGGTCGGCGCGTGCAGGCCTACTTGTCGGCGCTGGCCACCGTGCGGAAACGCGTGCGAGCGAGCAGCTCAATGAAGCCGCGAGAGAGCTGGTCGACCAGGCGAGCTGCGGTGCGAGCAGACGAACGCGACGCTCGGAGCTGCGTGCGATGCGAAGGAGGCGACCCCGTCGGTGGCTGGATCGGATGTGGGCAGTACGTGTCGAAATGGTCGGTCGATCAATGGTGGCGATAGGATGAACGCGCTCGCGTTGCGTGTGGCAGCGTGCGTAGGTGGTGCGTTTGGTGTTTGTGTTTGTGTTTGTGTTTGTTTGTTGTTGGCCTTGATTGTGTGTTTGTTGGTGGCGATGGTGTTCAGCCTTCCCATATAGTCTAGGCGGTTAGGATAGCTGGCTCTCACCCAGCAGACCCGGGTTCGAGTCCCGGTGTGGGAACATCTTTTGCTCTTCTTTGCTGCTTCTCCACTCTTCTTTTCGCCGCTTTGGGCGTTCGTCACAGTCTCGGTGCCGTGCTGACCCGCTGCTACATCCCATCCACGGATCCAACCATGCTCGCACGACCAGGAGGTACTCGAGTCTGTCCGGCCATTGGTCGGCGCGTGCAGGCCTACTTGTCGGCGCTGGCCACCGTGCGGAAACGCGTGCGAGCGAGCAGCTCAATGAAGCCGCGAGAGAGCTGGTCGACCAGGCGAGCTGCGGTGCGAGCAGACGAACGCGACGCTCGGAGCTGCGTGCGATGCGAAGGAGGCGACCCCGTCGGTGGCTGGATCGGATGTGGGCAGTACGTGTCGAAATGGTCGGTCGATCAATGGTGGCGATAGGATGAACGCGCTCGCGTTGCGTGTGGCAGCGTGCGTAGGTGGTGCGTTTGGTGTTTGTGTTTGTGTTTGTGTTTGTTTGTTGTTGGCCTTGATTGTGTGTTTGTTGGTGGCGATGGTGTTCAGCCTTCCCATATAGTCTAGGCGGTTAGGATAGCTGGCTCTCACCCAGCAGACCCGGGTCGAGTCCCGGTGTGGGAACATCTTTTGCTCTTCTTTGCTGCTTCTCCACTCTTGTTTTCGCCGCTTTGGGCGTTCGTCACAGTCTCGGTGCCGTGCTGACCCGCTGCTACATCCCATCCACGGATCCAACCATGCTCGCACGACCAGGAGGTACTCGAGTCTGTCCGGCCATTGGTCGGCGCGTGCAGGCCTACTTGTCGGCGCTGGCGACCGTGCGGAAACGCGTGCGAGCGAGCAGCTCAATGAAGCCGCGAGAGAGCTGGTCGACCAGGCGAGCTGCGGTGCGAGCAGACGAACGCGACGCTCGGAGCTGCGTGCGATGCGAAGGAGGCGACCCGATCGGTGGCTGGATCGGATGTGGGCAGTACGTGTCGAAATGGTCGATCGATCAATGGTGGCGATAGGATGAACGCGCTCGCGTTGCGTGTGGTGCGTGCGTAGGTGGTGCGTTTGGTGTTTGTGTTTGTTTGTTGTTGGCCTTGATTGTGTGTTTGTTGGTGGCGATGGTGTTCAGCCTTCCCATATAGTCTAGGCGGTTAGGATAGCTGGCTCTCACCCAGCAGACCCGGTTCGAGTCCCGGTGTGGGAACATCTTTTGCTCTTCTTTGCTGCTTCTCCACTCTTGTTTTCGCCGCTTTGGGCGTTCGTCACAGTCTCGGTGCCGTGCTGACCCGCTGCTACATCCCATCCACGGATCCAACCATGCTCGCACGACCAGGAGGTACTCGAGTCTGTCCGGCCATTGGTCGGCGCGTGCAGGCCTACTTGTCGGCGCTGGCCACCGTGCGGAAACGCGTGCGAGCGAGCAGCTCAATGAAGCCGCGAGAGAGCTGGTCGACCAGGCGAGCTGCGGTGCGAGCAGACGAACGCGACGCTCGGAGCTGCGTGCAATGCGAAGGAGGCGACCCCGTCGGTGGCTGGATCGGATGTGGGCAGTACGTGTCGAAATGGTCGATCGATCAATGGTGGCGATAGGATGAACGCGCTCGCGTTGCGTGTGGTGCGTGCGTAGGTGGTGCGTTTGGTGTTTGTGTTTGTTTGTTGTTGGCCTTGATTGTGTGTTTGTTGGTGGCGATGGTGTTCAGCCTTCCCATATAGTCTAGGCGGTTAGGATAGCTGGCTCTCACCCAGCAGACCCGGTTCGAGTCCCGGTGTGGGAACATCTTTTGCTCTTCTTTGCTGCTTCTCCACTCTTGTTTTCGCCGCTTTGGGCGTTCGTCACAGTCTCGGTGCCGTGCTGACCCGCTGCTACATCCCATCCACGGATCCAACCATGCTCGCACGACCAGGAGGTACTCGAGTCTGTCCGGCCATTGGTCGGCGCGTGCAGGCCTACTTGTCGGCGCTGGCGACCGTGCGGAAACGCGTGCGAGCGAGCAGCTCAATGAAGCCGCGAGAGAGCTGGTCGACCAGGCGAGCTGCGGTGCGAGCAGACGAACGCGACGCTCGGAGCTGCGTGCGATGCGAAGGAGGCGACCCGATCGGTGGCTGGATCGGATGTGGGCAGTACGTGTCGAAATGGTCGATCGATCAATGGTGGCGATAGGATGAACGCGCTCGCGTTGCGTGTGGTGCGTGCGTAGGTGGTGCGTTTGGTGTTTGTGTTTGTTTGTTGTTGGCCTTGATTGTGTGTTTGTTGGTGGCGATGGTGTTCAGCCTTCCCATATAGTCTAGGCGGTTAGGATAGCTGGCTCTCACCCAGCAGACCCGGTTCGAGTCCCGGTGTGGGAACATCTTTTGCTCTTCTTTGCTGCTTCTCCACTCTTCTTTTCGCCGCTTTGGGCGTTCGTCACAGTCTCGGTGCCGTGCTGACCCGCTGCTACATCCCATCCACGGATCCAACCATGCTCGCACGACCAGGAGGTACTCGAGTCTGTCCGGCCATTGGTCGGCGCGTGCAGGCCTACTTGTCGGCGCTGGCGACCGTGCGGAAACGCGTGCGAGCGAGCAGCTCAATGAAGCCGCGAGAGAGCTGGTCGACCAGGCGAGCTGCGGTGCGAGCAGACGAACGCGACGCTCGGAGCTGCGTGCGATGCGAAGGAGGCGACCCGATCGGTGGCTGGATCGGATGTGGGCAGTACGTGTCGAAATGGTCGGTCGATCAATGGTGGCGATAGGATGAACGCGCTCGCGTTGCGTGTGGCAGCGTGCGTAGGTGGTGCGTTTGGTGTTTGGTGTTTGTGTTTGTTTGTTGTTGGTCTTGATTGTGTGTTTGTTGGTGGCGATGGTGTTCAGCCTTCCCATATAGTCTAGGCGGTTAGGATAGCTGGCTCTCACCCAGCAGACCCGGGTCGAGTCCCGGTGTGGGAACATCTTTTGCTCTTCTTTGCTGCTTCTCCACTCTTGTTTTCGCCGCTTTGGGCGTTCGTCACAGTCTCGGTGCCGTGCTGACCCGCTGCTACATCCCATCCACGGATCCAACCATGCTCGCACGACCAGGAGGTACTCGAGTCTGTCCGGCCATTGGTCGGCGCGTGCAGGCCTACTTGTCGGCGCTGGCGACCGTGCGGAAACGCGTGCGAGCGAGCAGCTCAATGAAGCCGCGAGAGAGCTGGTCGACCAGGCGAGCTGCGGTGCGAGCAGACGAACGCGACGCTCGGAGCTGCGTGCGATGCGAAGGAGGCGACCCGATCGGTGGCTGGATCGGATGTGGGCAGTACGTGTCGAAATGGTCGGTCGATCAATGGTGGCGATAGGATGAACGCGCTCGCGTTGCGTGTGGCAGCGTGCGTAGGTGGTGCGTTTGGTGTTTGGTGTTTGTGTTTGTTTGTTGTTGGTCTTGATTGTGTGTTTGTTGGTGGCGATGGTGTTCAGCCTTCCCATATAGTCTAGGCGGTTAGGATAGCTGGCTCTCACCCAGCAGACCCGGGTCGAGTCCCGGTGTGGGAACATCTTTTGCTCTTCTTTGCTGCTTCTCCACTCTTCTTTTCGCCGCTTTGGGCGTTCGTCACAGTCTCGGTGCCGTGCTGACCCGCTGCTACATCCCATCCACGGATCCAACCATGCTCGCACGACCAGGAGGTACTCGAGTCTGTCCGGCCATTGGTCGGCGCGTGCAGGCCTACTTGTCGGCGCTGGCGACCGTGCGGAAACGCGTGCGAGCGAGCAGCTCAATGAAGCCGCGAGAGAGCTGGTCGACCAGGCGAGCTGCGGTGCGAGCAGACGAACGCGACGCTCGGAGCTGCGTGCGATGCGAAGGAGGCGACCCGATCGGTGGCTGGATCGGATGTGGGCAGTACGTGTCGAAATGGTCGGTCGATCAATGGTGGCGATAGGATGAACGCGCTCGCGTTGCGTGTGGCAGCGTGCGTAGGTGGTGCGTTTGGTGTTTGGTGTTTGTGTTTGTTTGTTGTTGGTCTTGATTGTGTGTTTGTTGGTGGCGATGGTGTTCAGCCTTCCCATATAGTCTAGGCGGTTAGGATAGCTGGCTCTCACCCAGCAGACCCGGGTCGAGTCCCGGTGTGGGAACATCTTTTGCTCTTCTTTGCTGCTTCTCCACTCTTCTTTTCGCCGCTTTGGGCGTTCGTCACAGTCTCGGTGCCGTGCTGACCCGCTGCTACATCCCATCCACGGATCCAACCATGCTCGCACGACAAGGAGGTACTCGAGTCTGTCCGGCCATTGGTCGGCGCGTGCAGGCCTACTTGTCGGCGCTGGCCACCGTGCGGAAACGCGTGCGAGCGAGCAGCTCAATGAAGCCGCGAGAGAGCTGGTCGACCAGGCGAGCTGCGGTGCGAGCAGACGAACGCGACGCTCGGAGCTGCGTGCGATGCGAAGGAGGCGACCCCGTCGGTGGCTGGATCGGATGTGGGCAGTACGTGTCGAAATGGTCGGTCGATCAATGGTGGCGATAGGATGAACGCGCTCGCGTTGCGTGTGGCAGCGTGCGTAGGTGGTGCGTTTGGTGTTTGTGTTTGTGTTTGTGTGTGTGTTGGCTTGATGGTGGGCTTGATTGTGTGTTTGTTGGTGGCCATGCCGTTCAGCCTTCCCATATAGTCTAGGCGGTTAGGATAGCTGGCTCTCACCCAGCAGACCGGTTCGAGTCCCGGTGTGGGAACATCTTTTGCTCTTCTTTGCTGCTTCTCCACTCTTGTTTTCGCCGCTTTGGGCGTTCGTCACAGTCTCGGTGCCGTGCTGACCCGCTGCTACATCCCATCCACGGATCCAACCATGCTCGCACGACCAGGAGGTACTCGAGTCTGTCCGGCCATTGGTCGGCGCGTGCAGGCCTACTTGTCGGCGCTGGCGACCGTGCGGAAACGCGTGCGAGCGAGCAGCTCAATGAAGCCGCGAGAGAGCTGGTCGACCAGGCGAGCTGCGGTGCGAGCAGACGAACGCGACGCTCGGAGCTGCGTGCGATGCGAAGGAGGCGACCCGATCGGTGGCTGGATCGGATGTGGGCAGTACGTGTCGAAATGGTCGATCGATCAATGGTGGCGATAGGATGAACGCGCTCGCGTTGCGTGTGGTGCGTGCGTAGGTGGTGCGTTTGGTGTTTGTGTTTGTTTGTTGTTGGCCTTGATTGTGTGTTTGTTGGTGGCGATGGTGTTCAGCCTTCCCATATAGTCTAGGCGGTTAGGATAGCTGGCTCTCACCCAGCAGACCCGGTTCGAGTCCCGGTGTGGGAACATCTTTTGCTCTTCTTTGCTGCTTCTCCACTCTTGTTTTCGCCGCTTTGGGCGTTCGTCACAGTCTCGGTGCCGTGCTGACCCGCTGCTACATCCCATCCACGGATCCAACCATGCTCGCACGACCAGGAGGTACTCGAGTCTGTCCGGCCATTGGTCGGCGCGTGCAGGCCTACTTGTCGGCGCTGGCGACCGTGCGGAAACGCGTGCGAGCGAGCAGCTCAATGAAGCCGCGAGAGAGCTGGTCGACCAGGCGAGCTGCGGTGCGAGCAGACGAACGCGACGCTCGGAGCTGCGTGCGATGCGAAGGAGGCGACCCGATCGGTGGCTGGATCGGATGTGGGCAGTACGTGTCGAAATGGTCGATCGATCAATGGTGGCGATAGGATGAACGCGCTCGCGTTGCGTGTGGTGCGTGCGTAGGTGGTGCGTTTGGTGTTTGTGTTTGTTTGTTGTTGGCCTTG